GATACACACTTTATCTATATATTGAGGTATTTCAGTAGATGTCTTATTGCAATTTACATACAGGCGTTATTTTATGAAAATGATTAAGTAATCAAGTTGGTAATTGATAATGACGTCATAATTGAAAAGAAAAAGAATATTCCGCATTTTTAATTAAGCACCGCTTAATACGATGTAATGTTAATGTTCCGGGTATACACGGGGTGTTACAGATGCAATGTGTTGATTGCATTACACCATGTGTAGGTGTTGGTTTTGGAGAAGAGTATTGTTGAGATTGGTGATGAACAAAGGGTGAATTGGAAGCTTGAGGTAAGCCTTCGGACCTTGGGTATAATTCTCTTGATTGTTCCACCGAGCCCTGATTGGGTAGTGGTTGTGAAAGTGTATATAAATGCAATGAAATAGTTTAATGTTTTGTTATACGTATGTGTATGCTTTGGTGTGACATAGGATGGTGTTTCCCTATGTTGGTATGTTGCATGACGATGCGTAAATCATACTTGGTAGTTTAGCTGGACAGTAGGACTATTTGCATCTGAGTATCCTTAGGACAACTTGAGAGCTCGAGGGATTTCTCCTGGAGATGTTGTTTACACACTGCATGGATATGTATTTATTGCATTATTATTGTTACTGCTATTAAACTGTGATTGAACTATGGGGTGGAGAGATGCTCCAAGGACCCCTGGTTTACTGTGATATATTCGTATATCTCACCCCGTGTTGTGGGGACCCCCTTTCAGGTAAAGATGCTGCAGGAGCCTCCAGTGGCAAGTGGCCATATTTGGATTAGTAGATGCATGAAGATGTTGCATTTTTTGGGATTATACATGACATGTAGAAATACCATGTATAGGACTTATAGTTGAAAGCCGATTGTCATTCGTATATCATGCTTTATTGGAAGGACTTAGCCTATGCTCACCTCCTTTGGTGCCTCTTTTGTTTTTGAGAGCCAATGGGTTGATCATAGTTCTTTTGGTAGCTAAGTCCCCTGATTTTGTAATTTATACATGTTGTAATTAATGGAGATATATGTATGATGAAATGGTATGCATGCTTCTCTTAGTGTATGAGTACCTTGAAAGATTAGAATTCATGTATTGGTAACGAGTTATAGAATGTAGGTGCCACATGGTGTGTGACCATGGTTGGTTTCTCCTTGTCAATTAGGTGTAATAACCCTTGAAGAATGAATGGGGAATGGAGTTTCCCCAAGTAATTCACCCAAAAAAAGGGGAGACCAAGTCTGCCCCAGGTGGAGGGCGCTCAAGCGCGCTAGATACGTGAAAATAAGGGAAAGCCCCTGCCTCTCGGCTCTCATGTGCTTATTTGGGTGCTCAAGCGCTGATTTCGGGTGCTCAAGCGCGCAGACACCCGCCCAAGCGCTCTAAATGACCTGATGGTGACCAAAATTCTTCGCAGTGGGCGCTCGGGCGCGCATCCCGAGACAGCACCAACCTAGTTTACTAAAATAGTCATAACTTGAGCTTCAGATCTCTGATTTGAGTGTGGTTTGAACCCATGCGAAGCTATCTATGAGATCTATAACATAGTATGAGATGAGAACTATAAAGTAAGTATAGAAATTCCAATTTAATAATATGTGAAGAGAGTTTACTATTGAACTCGAACAAAGTAATGATATGATGTTAAGTTTAGTTTTGATTATTCCGCAAAGTAATAACGTTATGGTCACGCAATTGGTTATTTCAAATTCGGCGTTGTTAAAAAGGAAAAACAAGTAAGTTTTAAAAAGGAAAACGAAAAAATTTATCCGGGTTTTTAATTGAACCAATGTGATTGTAACTGCGCTTAATATCATAAAGCAATGTTAACAAACCGGTTCTAGAACGGGGTGTTACAGTTATCCACTCAACAACAGGTATGACACCTTTTAAAGTGGTGTATGGATGTGACCCTCCCTCCATGTTGGACTATATTCCACACTCGCAACCATTCCTAAAGTTGATGACATGCTTTGGGATAGACAACAATTGTTGTTGCAACTTAGAAAGATCTTGGAGAAAGCACAGCAACATATGAAGATTACTGCAGATACCAGAAGAAGGGATATTCAGTTTAAACCAGGTGATCTAGTTTGGGTCAGATTGCATCCATTTAGACAACAATCAGCAGGCCAAAGAATTTTTAATAAACTTTCCTATCGTTATTTTGGACCATTCTCGATAGACAAAAAAAATAGGAAAGGTTGCTTATAAACTTAACCTTCCTCCAACAGCCAAAATTCACCATACTTTCCATGTTTCTCTTTTGAAACCATTTCAAGGAGACAATTCTATCCCTTCTCTACCATTACCTGATGTATTCACTGGGGGCCTACCAGTGCTTAAACCCAAACAGATTTTAGCCTCAAGAATTTCAGAGGAAGGAATTAAAGAGATCCAAGTACTATGGAAAGGTTGCCAGCAGAAAATGGAACTTGGAAAATAACTGAGGAGTTCCGGTCACAATTTCCTCATCTTAACCTTGAGGACAAGGTTGTTTTTCATGATGGGGGTGTTGATACAATGGAGGACCAAGAGAGACAGCCACAAGAAGGAGTAGAAGATATTGATACTTGTCAACAACATGAAGAAGAGTCGAATATAGCACATAGGAGAGTTCCACGTGACAAAAGGAAACCTCTAAGGTTTAGAGAGTCATTGTAATAAGGCAACACGTGGGTAGCACGTGTATACAGTTACGATAGTTGAATAAATAAGGGGAAAATGTAAAGCATTGGTATTCATTCTGGTTGTTTTCAATAAAAAGAAATCTGATTTTCTCATCTTTTTTCTTAATTCTCTCTCTACCTTTACCCTTTCTTTCTGCTATCACAAGGTTATCCTATCAGTGGGATTCACAAAAAAGTAAAAAGACAAAAAAATAAAGATGGGATTCACATTTTAATTATTTGTGTAACATGAGAATCTCTTCTAATGTAAAATGAGAAAAGAATAACCCTAAAAAAATATCACATTATTCAAAAAATAAATGTGATATTTTTTATACATATATTATAAAATAATTGGATCAAAGATGCATATGATACATTAAAATTTATTCCACGACGACACACCCAAACTGTTAGAAATGAATATCCACACAGATGCAAGAGACAACCACACAGAAGTATCTACAAATAAAACTTTTCTTTTCTATTCTTGCTCTTTTTCTTTTTTCTCTTGATCTCTTGATCTACTTGATCTCTTTGATCTACATTTCATACAAACTATCAAAGGCTATTTATAAGCTATGAAACTGACCAACATAACTCCACACATAACACCCTCATTACTTTATAACTGACATAACTGACTCATTAATATTCTAACTGACATAACTGACTCATTAATATTCTAACTGACACAAGAAACTAAATAACCAAAACTGCTAAAAAACGGACATTTAAAATTTATCCCAACAAAACTCCCCCATAAATTTTAAATTCTTCTTTCTTTCTTCGAGTTGCTGCTTCTTTTCTTCAACTTTCTGATCGCGCCTGTTTTCTTCAATCTTGATCACTGACAAAAAACATCTAACACCTTCCAACTTAATTAACACACAAAAAATCTCCCTTGCAATTATTTTTCTGAACATATTTTATTTTATCCGGTGGCTTCTTCAATTTGATATTTTCAGTTTCATTAACAGGACTTTCCTTGTTTCCATTCGCTGTATCTTCTTCACCTGCAAGTTTCTCGTCACCCAAATTCTTCTCAGTTTCATTTGCCACTTCATCAGTTGTGATCACAATTTTATTTCCTCGTCCAATCCGAATTTCTGCATCATTGGTATTGTCAACAAAACCTATTTTTCTCTTCAAGACCACATCCTTTTCTTCAAATGCACCTTCCATTTTTTCGCCGTTCTCGGCTCCTTCATTGTCGTCTTCCTCGCACCTCCTCAATGGCATCTCGGACCAGCGACCAATGCCGGTCGCCGACGTCGACCTCGTCACGCCGGGGTCGAAGTCTCTTCCAAAACATGAACTCGGTGATTTAGCCGGGATCTTCCCCATCCCGGTTATCAACATGAGACTCGGATTCGCAGTCTCCTCCAAGCCGGTCTCCATCAAGCATCTCGGATTCCACGCTTCTCGTTCCTTTGCTGGCTTCTCAAGCTCCTTCGACATCTCGTCTTCTTCCTTATCCTCTCTATCCATCTTCTGAATTGACTCGCCGCTCTCAGCGTCTTCGATCACGGCTCCCATAGCCGCAATCATCGTCTTTTTCTCTGATTCATCTCTCGCGGATACATTGCCGTTGGCAACCTCGGACTCCGCCATCTCGGTCTCTTCTTCATCCGCAAGATTCTCCTCATCTTCATCATCATCATTGATGATTTCATCTTCTTCATTAATCAAATCAAAACGTCCAGGCAAGTATTTTGTTATGAAGGCCATTAGAAAATCCTTCCACATATTATTAAAGTCGCGGCAGTTCCATGTACGGAACCATTTGATTGCGCTTCCTCTGAGTCTTCTCATGGCCACCTGCCATTTGTCCTCCGTCCAGGTCTTTTCTTTCCGAAAATGTTCCTTCAAACAGAGAAGCCAATCCAATGCTTCATCCTTATCTCCATGGAAGAGTGGCACCTCTAACTCGCTCTTTTTCTCCATAGCCCAAGCTCTGATACCAATTTGTTAGAATTGAATATCCACACAGATGCAAGAGACAACCACACAGAAGTATCTACAAATAAAACTTTTCTTTTCTATTCTTGCTCTTTTTCTTTTTTCTCTTTCATACAAACTATCAAGGCTATTTATAAGCTATGAAACTGACCAACATAACTCCACACATAACACCCTCATTACTTTATAACTGACATAACTGACTCATTAATATTCTAACTGACATAACTGATTCATTAATATTCTAACTGACACAAGAAACTAAATCACCAAACACAAACACAAAAGAGACGGTTATTAACCATTGCTTCCTTTGATTCCCATGAGACGAGAAATGAGATTGTGCGGACGTCGTCGTTTTGGCCATGACTGATTGTGGTTCCCATGCTGCTCCTCTCCAGTGAAAATTCTCTCAGGTCTTCGGCCAACGACTTTCCAACGAACACCTTCAAAGACGGTTAGTCACCACAACTCACTCTGTGTGTGTGGTTTGTGATGTGTTCGATTATAACACAATTCGTCTCACAAATTTCACACTCTCTTTATGCACGCGGGAATCTTGTTCAGACGATATCATAACTAGGATTCCGTTCGAGAAGCGCGGCGATTATCTTGCCGTTGGAGATCGAGGTGGACGAGTTCTTATATTCGAACGAGATGATAGAATAAAGAATGTGAGTGAGCATCATCACGACGCAGTGTTCGTCTCTGTAATTTTCAAAACGCTGCTTATCTGAGCTTTGTTGCGTTTTTCTTAATGTTATTGTTGTTAGGGTTCGCGTAATCGAAAAGATTTGGAGCAGCTGGATTTCGCTCCTTCGCGGCATCCCAAGTTTCTTTACAAGACGGAATTTCAGAGTCACTAGCCCGAGGCACGTTCATAACTAATTGTTTATTATTATAGTTAAGTTTGTTGCATTTTATTATTATTATTATTATTATTATTATTATAATGCTTATTATCATTCCCATTCATTTATGTAGTTTGATTATCTCAAAGATTGTGGAAATTGAAAAGAGGATTAACAAAGTAAGGTGGGGCATTACCCACAACGGTTTGCTGTTCCTTCTTTCAACCAACGATAAAACAATTAAACTGTGGAAGGTATGAGCATTGCATTATCATTTTTTTATTTTTGTTTAGAGATATTACAATCGGTTTATCGCTTCGATACTAGTCAGATTCGGGACGGGTCCTGAGATTAAGGCTTTAAACTCCTCCCAAAGATAGTACCAGAAAAGATCAAACACTTATTCTCACCTCCACTTGTTCAGTTTTCTGGCGCAAACTGAACTACCATCATTTGGTTCATTATCATTCTAATACTAGCTCTTTATAATCTGCAAGGAATATAAGGGCCCAAATCTGAACAATTTTTTTTTTATTATTTTCAGTAGGCAAACAATATCTTTTTGCTGCATGAGCGTCGTGACTTTTATAATTGGCGAAGATTGAATATTTTTAAGGCATAGTTTGGCCGTTTTAACTTCTTTTTTTATTTTTTACCCCTTTGTTTTTGTCTTCTCTGGTACATTAAGTCGAAGCAAGACTGAGTATCTGAAGTGTGAGTTTTCTCTGGTACAAGATGAGGACCAAGAACCTGTGCATCTAAATGGTCAAGAGGTACCCAAAAAAAATGTTTTTAAATACTTGGGCTCCATTTTACAAAATGGTAGAGAGATTGATGAGGATGTAAATCACAGAATCAGAGCAGGGTGGATGAAATGGCGTAGTGCATCTGCATTTTTGTGTGACCGCAAAATTCCCCTGAAGTTAAAAGGAAAATTCTATAAAACGGCAGTACGACCGGCAATGCTATATGGAGCGGAATGCTGGCCAGCACATAGGCAACATGAGCATAAGATGGGAGTAGCAGAGATGAGGATGTTAAGGTGGATGTGTGGGTACACAAGGATGGATAAGATAAGAAATGAAGATATTCGACGAAAGGTCGGAGTAGTACCGGTAGCCGAGAAGATGAGAGAACATAGATTGAGGTGGTTTGGGCACGTGATGAGAAGACCCATGGATGCTCCTGTAAGAACAGAAGTTTGTTACCAAGAGCTAAACACAAAAAGAGGCAGAGGTAGGCCGAAGCTTACTTGGGGGAAAGTAGTAAAACAAGATTTAATGGAGTGAGATATAGATTGGCGGACAGTATGTCTTAGAAAGGAATGGAGAAAAGCTATAAGTATGGTGGAGGATTAGACCCGCTGTTATTCCTATGTTCCGGATGGTCTTTTTTTAGTCCTTTTCCCCTTCATTTCCCCCACTTCTTCTTGTCCCTTTCTTTTTTACTTTTATTTATTTATATATACATATATTTCTATTTTATTTTATTTTATTATTTTATATGTGTATTTTTGTTTATTTATTAATTTATTAATTAATTTATTTTTTATTTTTTATTTTTTTTACTTTTTTTCAACCGTTTTGTATCTTTCATGTGGATTCATCTACCACCGACCCCAATTAATTTGGGATAAAAGTGTTGTTGATGTTGATATTGATGTTTTTGTCTTCTCTGATTTTTCTGGGGTAGGTTAAAGAACATAAAGTGAAACAAGTTAAAGAAATGGCCCCAATTCTGTGCTCAGAAAATATGCTTCTGGCTGAAAGGAGTTACATATGTGGGCAGGAAACTCATTCTGCTGCAAATGGCTATCATTTGGAATGGACAGAGAAGATGCCTGGGAATCTTTTACAACCTCAAGACATTGATACCAAGGTTGGTTCTTGTGGAAATAGCAGAGCTTGAGTTTCAACACTGTCTTCCTTCAGAAAGTGACAATTCTTAAAGTACATGATTCTTTGCCAATATGTTTTGTATCAGATTTCTGGATCGGAAGACACTGTTCATACAAAGTGCCGAAAGGTGTACAGTTATGCTCACGGTTTCAATATTAACTCGATCTCAAATAATAGGTACGTTTTGCTTCTCTTTTACCACGGATGCTTAATATGCCATTATTTGTGTTAGGAAGAACTTAGGAGGATTCCTTCATTTTATTGACGTTATTAGTTACAAAATTTAATAACAGTGGCATCATAATCCCTGCACAGTGATATTGAGACCTTTATCTCAGCAGATGACCTTAGAATCAATTTGTGGAATCTTGAGGTCAGTGATGAGTGTTTCAATATCATTGACATGAAGCCGTCAAACATGGAGGATCTTACTGGTAACTTTGTTCATCCACCACTCATTGTATATTCTAATTCTTGTGTACTCCCGTTCATATTTACACTACTATGCTCTGCTGTACTTTGTGCATCCTAATACCATCTAATCATTCCAACCAAATATATTAGATATTTTACATGCGGCAAAAGTAACAAATTGAGGATGTCCCATCCTAGGAAGCAAGGTTGCTGAATGTAATTAATTTGTTCCTGGTCTTAAATTTCCTGTTACTGCCAGGTCACTACTACTGGGAGGCCTAGAATCGGAAAAAGAAGTTTTTATCCTTGGAATTCTTAATTCACCCAGATTTTGGCATAGCCCTTGAAAATCAAGTGAATCATCAAACAGGCCCAATATAGGTGGGCACGTTTAGTCTTTTAAGTAGTAAATTGCTTTCAATTGGGTAAGGAAATATCATTTGCTAAATTGGTATTAAAATGCATATAATCCAGCTTGATACCATGAAACAATTTGATCAAAAACTCTACCTATGATATGCCCCTATTGTTTTTTCCCCTAATCTACACTTATTACATTCTAAATCAGTTGTAAACCTTGCACTCGTTGCTCCTCTCTGTTTTTTTAACAATTATTTGCAATTTTCATATACTGTTTAGGCTCCAGCTACCATATACCCCTTCTGGTTTGTGTTATCTTCAATAAGTCTTCATTTGCTTCATATTCCAAAACCTGAATATAGATGTTCACAATCAAGGGCATTTTCCCCTTCTCTGTACTTTTGTCTATGAAAGCAAAATGACTGTTTGTTGCAATTCTTCACACTCACCTTTCTGGTTATTGATCAATGTTAGATTACACTTTCGGTTTTCTTTTTTCTCAGTTTTGGAGGATCTCTTGTTCTCCTGGAGTTGTATTTCTTTCATCTAATGATGAAAGGATAGCATTTCTACTTCTATAAATAAGCTACACCTTGAATCCATCAGCATGATGCATTGATATTGCTCTTATAACCTGTTTGCCCAAGCCTGCTTTGGAAATCATAGTTTTATGTGATCTATGTCAAATGCATCAAATTTGCATGCCATTTTATTTTATCTATCTCTTTTTGGTCTTTTTAACTGATTTGTCCTATTTCAATCAGAGATTATAACATCAGCTGAATTCCATCCATTACATTGTAACCTGCTGGCATATAGCAGCTCACGCCTCACGAGGTTTTATTCGTCTATACGATTTGCAGTATGCGACCATGCTTCTAGAATGTGAGATGCAGCTCAATTTCCTCTGAGTTTAGGCATGTTTCATTTTCTGGGATTTTACTGTATCCTAAGCTTTGTCTTTATTCTGCTACTTCTCATTCAGCTTGATTATACAGATTTCAGCATTGAAAGTCCTGTGGATCAAAGTCATTTTTTACAGAAATCATTGTATCCATCTCAGACTTAAGTTTTCGAATGATGGCCAGCATCCTATAAGTCGTGATTACATGAATATGAAGGTTCTCCTATTATTACAGTTATGTAAATTTTCATTTCAAAATTATATTCCAGAATCTATCTTGTATTATAGTTTTTTTCTTTAGACACTGGTAGTATGATGCGGTTCTCAGTTTCAGTCTTTTCCAAATGTTTTCTCTAAATCTAGTTAGACTTCTGTTGCTCTATCCTTAGGCTTCAGATGTTGTTTGGTTAAAGACCACTTTTGGAGTTTGGAAAATCAAAAAAGCATTTCCTTTTAAAGAAAATATTATTTTATAATAACACATTCGTGTAGATATATATCACTTAGTATTAGAGATAATGTCATTGTATTGACGGTACGTTATTTACTTTACTGTACTTCAGTTTTGTTTTAGTGCTTCTGTACGGTTATGTTTCACTTAGTGCTTAGCTAGTTAGTTGCCATGTCAGCAAGTTAGTTCTGACAGTTTTAATTCTGTTGTGGTTCAGTTAGGTAGTTGTCAAGCTGTTAGATCTGAAGCTTTCTGTGATCCTTAATCTAAGCAGGTCTTTCCTGTTTATAGAGCCTTGACATCAATATACATAACTTTCACAGAAATCTCAAATTCTCTGTTTCTTCCCTTTTCTCTCCCTTCCTGCATTTTCTATTACTTAGAAAGCATATACTGGTATCCTATTATTTAATGATTGAAGTTTCCATGTCTCTTACATGTTCAACTTACTATTGTGATTTTGTGGTCTGAATTGGCTTGTATATGTCAAGTTTTTCCATTGACTGTAATGGACAGAAGACAAGACCATCATTTTTTAGTTACACAATTATTCAAGATGCATGATGAATAATATATGATTAGCATACGATTTGTCTTGGGACAGAACGAGAAAAGCCATTAGAATTATATATATATATACGATTTTCCTATCTTCCAGGCGACCCCTTTTTGTCCTTTATATATATATTTCTTATTTCTTTTCCCCCAATCTGTTCTTGCTTTTATGTGAGTTTACCGACTGTGGACATTTGGGATAAAATGTGATGTTGATGTTGAATTATTCAAAATGGAAATACCCAACTGTATGAGATGCCTTGATTTCTTATAGCATTAGAATTTATTAGAGTAGATGAGGTGTACAGCTTATACAGCTGTACATAGGGTCAAACTTGTAATTAGCCATAGGGTCATTTCTGTAATTAGCAAACTCATTCAGTTCAGCTAACTGATTCTGGTTACAACTAAACCAGATGACGTGGCATATTTCTAAGGTCTATATTAGACCATTGTGTAACACATGTACGTGCAATGAATCACTTTATTCTTTTTCTTTCTGTTCACTTTCGCTCTCTCTTCTCTCTCTCTCTCTATGACTTCTTTGATGGTATCAGAGCCCTCTCTCTGAGGGCCTGATACAGATCCAACCACTTGATGTCTTCCGCTTCGCATCCACCGTCTCAGTCGTCTTCAGCTGCCGGAACAACCACCGGAAATGGAACGACAGAGCACCGGTCATCTTCTCTGTCACTGTTCACGCATCAGATCTCCGTCAAACTTACAGAAAGCAACTTTCTGATCTGGAATCAAGTTGTAGAACCAGTAATCACATCTCATCAACTCCACCACTTCCTTGTTAACCCAAAGATACCGCTTCAGTTCGAATCTGAGCAAGCTCGTGTTGATGAAGCTGTTAATCCACTGTATACTGAGTGGATTCGTCAAGATCAAATGCTTCTTTCATGGATTCTGTCTACTGTCTCAGAAGAAATCCTGAACGAGATCCTCGGTGTTTCTCATGCGTATGAAGCCTGGGAGCAAATCCACAAGTTTTTCCAAGGTATGATGAAGTCCAAAACTCTTCAACTCAGATCTAAACTTCGCACCATCAAGAAAGGTGGCAAATCTGTTGCTGAATATCTTCGTCGAGTTAAAACTATTTGTGATGAGTTAAAGGCTATCAAAAGTCCGATCTTAGTTGAAGAACAAACTGAACTGATTTTAGCTGGTCTTCCTCCTGATTTTAATGCGTTTGTTACTGCTGTTCAAGCTCGTGAAAATCCATACTCACTCAATGATTTACGTGTTGAACTGATGTCCTATGAAATGATGCTTGCTAGGCAGAACGAAACTCTTCTTTCAGATTCAATGACTGTTAATGTAGTTCAGAAGGTATCCTCAGATCCAAAAGAAAGTTCAAGATCTGATTCAACAGCTATGAGACCTCCTTTTGCTCCTATTCAAGCAAGTCAGAATCAAAGGTCTTATAATACAAATAATGAAAGAGGAGGAGGAAGGTTTTATGGTAGAAATAACAGAGGAGGAAGAGGCAGAGGTCGAAGCAATATTCAATGTCAACTCTGTTACAAATTTGGACATGGAGTTCAAAGTTGCTGGTATAGATTTGATGAGAATTTTGTGCCTGAGTTCTCATCACCAGAAGCTCACCAGTTCTTTCCACAACCACAACCCTTACTTCAGAGATCATTTCAATACAACAGACCTGCTAATGTTAACCAGCCTCAAGCTTTGTTGACCACAAATCAACCTCAACATCATGCTTCACAGCTTTGCAATATAGCTTCACAATCTCAAGGACAAGGACTCTTGCCTACTCCTTCAAATGTTCAGTCCATAGAATGGTATCCAGACTCAGGTGCCTCTCACCATGTGACTGCCAATCCTCAAAACCTTCTACAAAGCACACAACTGCCAGGTGCAGACCAGGTTTACATAGGAAACGGCCAAGGTTTGCGAGTCAATGCTACGGGTTGCTCTTCCTTTTCTTCTCCCCTCCAACCACACACTCACCTACATCTTAACAATTTATTACTTGTTCCCTCCATAACTAAAAATCTCATCAGTGTAAGTCAGTTTGCTAGAGATAACAGTGTTTATTTTGAATTTCACCCTTTCACTTGCTTTGTCAAATCTCAGGAATCTCATGAGGTCTTGCTGGAAGGTGCTTTGGGAACTGATGGATTGTACCGTTTTCAAGGAGTTAACCTTTACCCCAATTCAAGTCTGCCATCAAGCCAACAGTGTGCTTCTGTTTCTACGTCTAATTCAGCTTCTTGTAGTCAAAGTTCTCTATATACTAGTTACAGTGTTTCAGCTTGTACTGATACTCCACTCACCAATTTACTCACATCAAACACATTTAATAAAGTCAGTAGCTCAAGTCCTATAGGGTCAAACTATATGTACTCTCTTTGGCATTGTAGACTGGGTCATCCTCACACTGAGGCTGTGAATTCAGTTCTAAAGTCTTGTAATATTCCTGTGCCTAATAAATCAGACATTTCCTTTTGTTCTGCGTGTTGTTTGGGAAAAATACATAGATTACATTCTGGTCCTTCTACCAAAGTGTATGAAAAACCTTTTGACCTTGTTTTTAGTGACCTGTGGGGTCCAGCTCCTGTCAAGTCCTCAATGGGCTTCACCTACTACATATCTTTTGTAGATGCCCACTCTAGATACACTTGGCTTTATCCCCTCAAACAAAAATCAGAAGCATTGGTTGTTTTTAATCAATTTCAAGCACTTATATCAAACAACTTTCAGTCCACTATTAAAGCTCTTCAAACTGATTGGGGTGGAGAGTTTAGACCTTTTCATCAACATCTTAAAAACTTGGGAATAATTCACCAGGTTGCCTGTCCTCACACCCATCATCAGAATGGTGTTGTTGAGAGAAAGCATCGTCATATAGTTGAAACTGGTCTTACCTTACTTGCTCATGCATCCCTACCCATCAAATTTTGGGACCATGCCTTTATCTCAGCCGTGTATCTCATTAATTCTCTTCCTACTGCTGCCTTGAATTTTGAGGTTCCTTCTATCAAACTACACAAAACATTGCCTGACTACAAGTCATTCAAGGTCTTCGGATGTGCTTGTTTCCCTTTCCTAAGACCATACAACAATCACAAACTGGACTTTAGGAGCAGTGAGTGTATTTTCCTTGGCTATTCTCCTACTCACAAAGGCTACAACTGCTTGAACTCTTCTGGCAGATTGTTTGTTTCTAAAGATGTACTTTTTAATGAGTCAAAGTTTCCTTACCCTTTTTGGTACAGTTCATCATCCAACAATGCTACTGCTCATTCCTCTCCTCCTGTTTCTAATTTAATCCCTCTGGTAGACTCACATATCAAGTCTAATGCTCCTGTACGTCCATCACTCTCCTCAGCACAACAGAGCTTGACCACTCAAAGTTCCCAAGCATCCAGCAGCAACACCTCTTCACCACCATGTACCGTAGCTCAAGCAGATTCTTCTTCACCATTCTCAAGTCTTGTTCGCTCTTCTGGCATATCACCTTCACACAACAATCTTTCCAACTCTCAGTCAGTCTCAACTACAGCCTCTTCAGGTTCAAATTCTCCTGTTCCTATTTCCTTTAGTTCTTCTCCTTCTTCTGTTGACTCTGGTTCCGAATATATACCCTCTGGACCTCTTCACATTTCACCCTCTCACACCATTACTACCCGCTCCAAGACTGCTCCCCACCCACAAATCTTGTCCACCTCTCTTGAACCTGTCACCATCAAACAAGCCTTGGCCAATCCCAACTGGTCTGCTGCTATGCAATCTGAAATGTGTGCACTTCAAGCTAACTCAACTTGGTCTTTGGTTTCTCTTCCTCCCAATAGAACTGCCTTTGGTTGCAAGTGGGTTTTTCGTGTTAAAGAAAATCCTGATGGCACTCTTAACAGGTATAAAGCTAGGTTGGTGGCCAAAGGTTTTCATCAGCAAGCTGGATTTGATTACACAGAAACTTTTTCCCCAGTAGTTAAGCCTATTACCATCCGCACCATTCTTACTGTTGCTATCTCTTTTGGCTGGACATTAAGGCAACTGGATGTCAATAATGCCTTTCTTAATGACACTCTTGATGAAGAGGTGTACATGCAACAGCCTCCTGGCTTTGAGTCCCCAAATAAATCATTGGTCTGTAAGTTACATAAAGCCCTTTATGGCTTGAAACAGGCCCCAAGAGCTTGGTTTGATAAGCTCAAAGCATCTCTACTACATCTTGGATTCGTTGCTAGTAAATGTGATCCTTCACTATTTATCTACAGGAAGTCTGCACAATGTGTCTTTCTCTTGGTTTATGTTGATGATATAATCATCACTGGCAATGACTCCAGCTTTATTCA